TGTTTAATTCTCCCCCCAAAACTGCTTCATAAAAAGCCCTGCTACCCCACCGCTCCACCAAAATCGCTTTAAGAATTACAAAAGTGAAAAAGTCAAAGAATGATCATTATTGATGAGTCCTACCAAACGAGCAAACGAGAAAAGGAGCAAAAACGACAAACTATTCACTAAAAATGGCATACTATGACAACACTCTTGACAACATCTCTTTATTTATTTCCTCCACAAGACTTACCAAATTCTAGTACTACACAGATTGTGGTTCTCAATTTGCACGTAGCCCTTCAGTTGAAAGAAGCTTTTTAACCGCCTTCGCCAGCTGTGTGTTGACTGGACTTTGGCGTTGACCGTGGAGCAGCTTATTTACTATTGAAATTTGAACAAATATTCAAATGATTATAACTTTCTTCAAATATGACGAATTTTCAGTCTGAAAGCAGATTTGAAGTTTTGTGAAGAGCTTTTTCAACATATATTATTAACCTTATCTTGAATCACAAAAATTTATGCCAAATAGCAAATTCGATCATAAATTCATGACGAGCACGAGTTTTTACACTTTCCGAAGCAATAACTTGCTTCATTTTCGTCAAATTCGAAAAGTTAATATGGCAGACAAAACTAGAAGATTTTCTCTACCAAACCATTGCTAAAGCAGCTTATACGTCCAGTATTCAAAAAATGGCCACGTTGAGGATTTTTGCAAAATTAACGAGGAAAATTCGTGATGAGTGCGAGTTTTTACGCTTTCCAAAGCCATAACTCCGTTCAAACTCATGCAATCTGGAAAGTTAATACGTCATCATAAACTAGAAGATTTGCTCTTTCAAAAGGCAACTAGAACTGCTAAATACGTTCACTATTTAAAAAATGCCACGTTGAGGATTTTGCCCGAGTACCGCCGAAAGGTACTTTTTCGCTGCATTGGCACTATTTCAACGACTATAGCTCCTTTCAGGGCGATTACGTACTAAAGTAGGAGCAGATTCGAAATCCTCGTGCTCTTTCTCTTTCCAAAAGTGTAAAAAAATTTTAGCGTATCTTCCATCTTTTACCACTTACAATGCTCATTAATTTGACGCTGAAGGCAGCATTTCTGATTGCATGGTGTACTCCTTCCTGTACCCTTTCAGAATCCTCTTGATTTTCCTGAATTGAGATTCTTTCTCCAGAGAGCCGTAGCTGAAGCGCGCGCAACAACTGGGCCCACTCTGGGATGCGCCGTGTGCTTCACATCCCTTCAGATTCGAGGACTCACTTGAAAGATAAAATATCCCTTGGAAAACGAATTTCGGATTCTTTAACTTGTGTGGTGATAAAACACTGAAGTAACTAAGAATTACTACGCGGACACCTCAGAATCACGAAAATTTTGTGTGGGGAAATATCATTTTCATTGGAAATCCTCTGGCCTGGCATCGACTCGATCCTTGATGTTTGTCCTCCGACAGGTGATGATCCTACTGCATCAATCCGGCCCGATCTCTTCCTCCCAGCGGGCCAATACGACCCCCCCTGTGACGTGTCGAGGATTCCTCAACGCACGCTTGACCCTGTTTCGACCCAAGAGGAAGCGCGTCGAAGCGGTTTTCTGCAAGGCGTTGCGCCCTAAGAGCCCACAGCAGGGAGCTATTAAAGAACCAGGGGCCAGCGTTGTGAGACGAGATATCGATCGAAAACACCTACACGCCCCTGTAGATGACCCCTCTTCACAAGTAAAGGCTAGTACCGGGTCCGAGAAGGTAAAAATGTTAAGCCACTTTGGCAAGGGAATTCCATTCGTGAATTTCTGCTAGAAATTGAGCGCCCAATTTATTCTTTTGCAGGTCTTCAAAAGTGGAAATTTAGCAAGTAATTTTGCGCACCTGTATTGTTATTGCCATGAGATATTCAGTAATAATGATAACTGACGGTGATAATTGATGATTTTTTCTCGAAAATTGGAAATTTTCCAGATATATCATTATGACAATGGTGTTGGCTATACTTCATGGTTTGATGATGTCGCCTCTAGATATACTCAAGCAACGACATCCATCTAACGACCCATACAGAGGTAGAGGAGTAAATAAACACATCTGACCATGAGTCCGCTAGTTTTGGAGTATTCGCTTTAATCTAGGTAGATTTCAGTGTTCGATTACATATGGTCTTTCTATTCTACTGTGTTTGTCTTTTCTACAATCTACTTTGTACTGTACTGCATAATTCGACGCGACGAAAAGCGTACGTTGATCGTGCTCTGGTGTTACCGGCTGTTGGATATGGCATACTATGGACATCAGGAATGACATTCTGGTTCTTGTCCAGCGATCGACTATCACAAGTGGTCGCCTATCCGATCACAACTAGGGTCAGGATTTGATCATAGCATTTTATTATTAGGTTGTCTCGAAAGTTCGTGCGTATTTTTTGGATCTCATGCCACAAGCTCCTTCAACAAATTCAAAATGTGTTCACGTAGGCTGTGGATAGGGCACACTGTGCAGTAGCTTATACCCGAATCCTGCCCACCATCGTCGCCTTCTTCGAGTTCAAAGTGGAAAGAGAAAAGAGCTATGTTTTTCGCGCTCTGACTTAAGCAGCTCTACTGAGCCACAAACCGATTGAAGCCTGAAGCGGCATCTGCATCGCGATACATCTCCTCGCCCTCACCAACAGTGAGGTATCAGAATAGCTGGATCTTCTCTGCCCAGGAGACTACAGCCGGTAGAAAAATCCACGTTCAGAGAGGCCATCAGTGTCGGATTTGGAGAATCTGTGCTCTCTCGTGGGAGTCACTCCACACGGGGCTACCTGCTTTGTGGCAACCACATCCTGGTGTTCCAGATGCACAATGCGTAGAGGTTCTCGCTCCTTCGTAGAATGGTTGAAGCCTCACCAAAGATTCCCTCATGAGTTGATCACTGATGACAGGAGTGCGGCACGAGTCCCGTCTACAATTTGTGTCCAGCTCCATCCGTACGCCCTGGTTGAACAAAGCTACTACTGCAGTTGAGAAGCTCAGGTTCCATGACAACCACACCTAGAATCTCCAGGGACTAGATCGGACAGAAGAGGGTGAAAAGTGAAGAAATTCACCACAAGGTCGTGCTCCACCTCTTTTGGAGCGTTATCGAGTAAGCCACTAGAGACATGTCAATCATTATAGATATGAATTCACTCAAGTGTAGGGAGATCAACGGCAGAGACTCACGGTGAAACCCCAACAAATGTCGTTAAAACTCGAAAAAGTGTGTACGCTCCACAACACCCGAGGCCACACATTTCGATAATGAAGCGATTCTGAATATCGAAGCCCAGCTGAAAAGGCCTACCACATTCATCGTGCAGCGGTAGTCATTCTCTTTCGAAAGACATCTGCCCTTTCTGCTCAGCCGCCTTCTTGACGACAAAAAATACGATTCCCATTAGCACCTCAAAATCGACCTCACTGCCTTTTTCAGCTCATAACTGCCAGCCCTTTGAGAGTTAAGTTGCCAATCTTTGGTTGGATGTTGGTAACAAGTCACTGATAGTGGTGGTACATATAATGATGATAGGTTGCACACGTGCTTGGAATAGTGCAGGCTCAAAAATAAGTTCAAAATACGCACGAACTTCTGAGACAACCTAATATAAATAAGGATAAATCTTTTGCCGTTGATCAATCCCTTTTTGGGATGCGGCACGCATTCTACTTCCATTTGTACATTCGCAGTGGCATTTGAATGCGATGTGGCCTTTACAATGACTTGCGGGGGCCAGCCGATGTTCAAGTCAGTGTTTTTATCTCCCTAAATAGTCTGCTATCAATTAACCGAACCGGAGGGGATGATGCTTGGTGGCCACAGAGCGAAGCACAACCCTGATTATGTTCCGAGCGGCGCGCATGGTAAGGCCTCACCAACTTACTTTCACACCGATCTCCGCTTCTTGTATACAGGGGGGGGCCAAAAAAAAAAGACATTTTGCCTATGTCGGACTTCGGCTCTTTTTTCTTCGCAGAGATTGCTGTCGTTGACGGGAGTTCCTCAGCAGAGTATTCCCTAAGTGTCCCTCTATAAGTGAACGCAGGCCCTCCTTCACTGCCCTCACCGTCTTCAGAATATGACGTCATCTGTCACCGTCGTCAGGCTCAAGGAGGTCTACCGTAAGAGCTTCAGCCTGAAGCTCTTACGCAATTTCGTGAATCGATTTAATGTTGGATAGTTTTCTAGAGGCATTAGCTACCACTGTGCAAATCCCCTCGGAACTAGCTTTCCAGTAAGGGTCGTTATGGTACACGATCCTTCGAAGACCCCATTGAGATCGACCAGTGCACCATGTTTCCAGGGCAAATTCTTCTGATGCCGTCCACGTAGGTGGCCACCATGAAGATTTTCTTATAGAATGGAATGCGCTCTTTAATAATAAGTTGAGGACCATTCGGTCTGAATTGAGCAAAATGTGCTTAAATCCATCTGGAAGTGGAGACAAAATGTCTTTTTTTTATTGGCCCCCCTGTATAGAGTGGTGCAAATCCTGGTGGTCGAACAAGCCCTTTTCAGTGCTGGTCACAAAGTGTGAATAGCACAGCCTCCGGAATAGTGAAATCCCATAGGATCACGACAGCACTTACATTCCGCTGTCTTTACTGCATAGTAGACCGTATTATGACTAACTCGATTGGTTTGGCCAAGGAAGTATGCCCAAGCAGTTTCGTCAAGTATCACAAAGCTATTCAGATTCTGCAAGGAAGAGATGCGGGCGCTCAAGACTAAATACCTTGAGGGATACATGTTTATTTGCTGCGCCTGGAACAGTTGCTGGTGACTTAGCCTGGAGCATGCATTATTGAGCTATTCAGAGCAGTGACTGAGCCTCTTCCTTTCCCCCCCCCCCTTCGTCGAGCTAGGGATAATTTTCAGGTTAGCTAATGCATGCTAACCACTCCTTAACGTCGATCATGACCCTTTAATACCAACCAACCTGTAACTAGTCTATGGCCTTTAATTGTACCAGCGAAGGTACTTACTCCTCCACTCTCCCGCCCTCCTTCAAGCAACATATAGGGATTTTGCTACGGACCAATAGAGCATTCGATTGAATCAGTTCTTGCAGTTCCAGCCAATTAATGCAAAGATGCATGCTGGCGTATTGTGTACAAATTCAATTACGCGTGATTTTTCCATTGACATCAAAATTTTGTCGGTGATGTATATATTGAGGTGATGACGAAGCTTGTCTAATTGTTTAACACTTTGACGACAGCGCGGGACACATACGTCCCGCACTTTCACACGGAAGAGGCTTGTTTTTCCTAAATTGTGCCTCCATTTTCATGCTTCAAGACTGGCCCTTCCTACTGTTGGATACGAAAAATAGTTCTCTCGTTACCACTAATGAAATTATTGGTAATGTAGTAACTGTTAATGCAAATTTGTAAAATAAGGTGGGTAGGTGCGCGCACAAGGGCGTGTCGTCAACGTGTTTAAAGGACGAATTCACGCTGGAAAGGCAACCCATTTCAAATTAAGTTAGCGATGGTGAGTGGTACACTAAAGAAGGAAAAACCATGAGAAACGGCCCAGAACCCGAGAAATGGGACCCCTTCCTTGCCCGTTGATTTGAGCATTGATGCGACTATCATCGCTGTGCCCTCTTCAACGCTACGCTCTCTCACCTATCTAATCACTCACCACGTATAGACCTGCGGCGAGTGATCAGATGATCGGTGGGCGTGCACTGACCAGCCGCGGCGGGATTAAACCTTAATAGGTCAACGAGGTCAACTCCTCCTGTGCAAATTGTGCTTCAGTTCGCACACTTAGGAGCTCCGCGGGTCCCTCAACCAGGGTGAATTCTTCCTAATTCGATTTTCCCTCTGATCGTGAATTCGTCCTTTAAAGGCAGTGACCACGAGGTAAGGAGGGCAGAGCGGCTTTGATGCGCGTCATTGCTGGATCAGAACTATCAGCGCTGTAGGGCATACTTAGGACTACCTCCCAACGTTTTGCCACCTATGACGCTTAAGGAAATCAAAAACATCGTTCAGCGTTTGTGTTCGTTGACCTCAGCCTGCCAGCTATTTATTTGGACAACTCTACAAGGAATGGACAGAAAGACATCTTCTTTTCTCTCACTGATCTCCACAAGAAAACCACCAAGTCCATCTGACGGGGCTCCGCGATAGGGCACACTTTTTCTATTTTGTTTTGCTCTCCTCGGAATGCACCTCGCCTGCCTTAGCGTGAGGGAGGCATACAGCAGTCCCAGATCGCTTCATTTCAATTTCACTTTTCACTCTTGATCCCCATTTGAGAAACCCCTCGTATCGTAGTGTTTATCCATTCTTCCTTACGATTGAATGAGAACGATAGGTACGCAGTTCGATTGGGAGGCCGCTTACCTAAAGGGAAGGCAAACGCGACCCCCAAGGCGATGCGCCAACGGAATTCGCGGATTCGATGGACATGCTCAGCGAATTAGCATGGCGGCCTCGCAAGAGTTTACACCATTGCCTTCAAAAGGGGTACCATTTTTCCTGGCTCTTTGGCACCTTTCTCGTTGTTTTTCAATTTCGTGCACCTATGGACCACCTCTGCCTTATTTCTGATGAGCTGCTTCTCCATCATAGAATTCGCTTTTGAGATATCCCGCAACCGAGTTGCGAATTTTTGTATTAAACACCATGCAGTCCGCCCCTCGAGATAGCTCTTTTTATCGAGATTAGCAGAAATTTATACCAAGGAACAGTTTTGATCTTAAAGGCACGGGTCGCGATCAGATCCTAAGAGTAATCTGCTCCATAAACAATGAGTGACGCAGCAAGACGACTAATCACAGGAGGTAGTGATAACGCACACAACTTGCGATGCTCAACAGGAAGCTAATGCTTTCGCGACCGACTCTAATGCATACGCGGCGTTGCGCAGCCGTCAGGGAAATTGTTCTGTTTGTGTCTGTGGCACTCTTTGTATTGCGTTCAACGATTACACTTCGTTCTGAGGCTAAGTTTTTCGACGACAAGACCCAAAATCCGATCGCGTTTCGTGCCTTTAAGCTGCTTTAGAAATGACTGGCGAATTCCTACAATTAGTACTGTCCATGCCGAAAATGTCGAGCTCACCGAGGTCTCCTTTAACTCATTTGCAATGCTTCTTACATAGCTTCACACACCCTTCTCCTTCAGGCTCTGAGTTACTCTCTGAGCGACCTTCTATATTTTTTTCGAGCACCACTCTCGGTACGGTTCCGTGTTGAAGGCCATCGATATTAAATAACGATAGTGAATGCTTGATTTCATCGATATTTTCTGGATGGAGGAGTT